ACAGAAATGGTGCAGATATCCATTTTTCCAAAAGACAGTCAGGCAGAGTTTCGCCACTCTCAATTTGCGAATAATTGGTGAAGGGTTGCGAACATTTTTACAAAATAAGTCGCAAGCTTGGCGAATAAATCCTACCGTGACCACAGATCCATTAGTGGTAAACTTACCAATAGCTGCCGAAAGTTTCCCGGTAATCCATTCCTGAAATGATCAAACATGATATCTAGAATCTAGGCTGAGATTCTGATCAATCACTGAATCAGATCGACGACTATATGGACTAGGTCTTCATGCATTTTCATCGCAAATTTTAAATAAACATTGAATCGCATGATTTAATTTATATTACTGCCTGCTTACATTCTAATGTACAATACAGTTTCGCTGTACCCCTGACAGCTTAGGAATTATGGAAATCTCGAAACTGCTGAATAACTTATCATAATATCAGCAGAAATGCATTAGATTGTACAAGGCAGTAATAATTCAAGATCTGATAAGTAAAAAAAATAACGACTTGGGCAAGGCCTTTTTGCTGAAATCTCTCGTATTTTTGCTGATACCTCCCTTAGTATCTCCCATACTTTTACTATAATCTACTGTATTTCATAAAGGAATCTGACATATCTGTGACCTATATTATCGAATAAATGAACCAAAAAAACACTATATTATCGAAGTCGCCCTTCTATCTTTTACTTTCAGTTTCACGGCCAGGAAAATGTATACATTTTTTGTAATGTTAAGACTGAGCAAAGAGACCCTCATACTACTTGTTCTGACCCAACTTTCATGTAAGCAATTCGATCATCAACCTTATACTCAATAATATTTGTCATATTGTTTTGTGTTCCGATTGCTTTTAACTAAACCTTATTCTTAATGTCACAGACTCACGTATAAATCGGCCACATCGTTGAAACCAGGATGGAAATGATAAGAACTACTGTTTAGAGTCTATAGTGTACATGCTTTGGTTTGGTATGATCAGTGGTAGGAGGCCCCATATACATTTTACGTATGTTTAATCAGTTTCTTGAGAATAATAAAATCTGCTCCTCTCGTGTTTTCAAAAGTCCAGTTTTTTTTAAAACTGCCCTTTTTCAAAAATCTACTTTTATAGAATTTACCGCAAAACCGTCTATAAAAACTACTGTTTTATTTCAAATCTACAGTAAAAACTCCAGTTTTTTCTCAAAATTCATCGCAAAACTCCCGTTTTTCAAAATCAAGCGTAAAAACAACCATTTTGCCAAAAATCTACCTCAAAAACTACCAGATTTTTTTTTAAAAACCTCCCGAAAAAAAACTACCGTATTTCAAAAAAATCTCCCGTAAAAGTACCGCAATTTTTTAAAAATATCTCGCAAATTTTTATTTTTTGGTTGGCAAGTCTGTTACTGCTTACATTACTTTTAGGAGAGCATGCTATGTATTGTACAGGAGGGGGGGGGGGGGGGTAATAACTGAGAAGTCATTATCATACAATTCTAACTAATTCATTTCTGATTACAGAACTCTTTATCAGAAATCAGACAGAATGATTAACAGACTAGAAACCAACATAATGATGCAAATAAGTCTTAGCCAAATGACCTCAAGACTCATTCTATTTCTGTATATTACTCTTAATCACCACAATCCAAAAGAATAAAGTTTAGAAAAGTAGAATCTTCATACAATAGATGAACCATCACATCTTTCTGCCTTCGACTAGAAAGAAGATAATAAAAGGCCATGATTTCTCATTATTGATAAAGACATTGATCACTCTCTTAGCTCTGTTTGACTTACATATTTGAGTAAATTACCATTCTGTATGAATTCTGTATCTGGTGCTGCAGAGCCTGGATGTGCCAAGAGATATATTCAGGAATAAATAATACTTCCAAATCCAATGAAGATATAATGTCTTTTTAAAAAAATGGATGAACTTCCGTCAGGGGAGATTTCTATTTTCATCATTTTCACAAGAAGGAGGTCATTTTATATCCTGATATTTCATCCTTAAGTTAATACATGGCCTTTCAAGAGAAATGCCTAGATTTTCAGTAACCTGATGTTATTATTTACTATACACAGTGCTTTCAGTAAAAAAAGTGTGTCCCATGAAAAAAAGGTTCCCGGGAATCCAAAGTCACATTTTTATGCTGAACAAAAAAATCGATGAAAAGTTTCTCACCAGTTAAATCAGCGTTCTACAAACGTCTAGAAGGTCAATAAATGATATGGGTACCTTCACTTGAAAGATGTAATGATTATTCAACCATTAAATACACATTTTCTTGTTTTTCTTGATTTGCACTAGGGGCACTCTCTGCAAGGTTCCAATTATTAGTTCCGTTTTACGCCCATGCGCAACAAACCAGTAATTTGATGAGTCAAAACTATTAAGACGCATGCACGATTAATAATCGTAGCCAATCATAGGACTCGTACCAATCCGGGGGGGTTCACTGTATATAAAACTCGACGGGGGTCCTAGGCTGAAGCCTCAAATATCAATATGTTCCCATACCAATCTGTCAAATTTCAATATGTTCCCATACCAACCAAAATAATGCCCAAAGGCCATACCAAATGTCCAAATATAGGACCAATGCCATACCAAATGTCCAAATATAGGACCAATGCCATACCAAATGCCCAATTATGGGACTAATGCCATACCAAATGTCAAAATGTAGGACCAATGCCATACCAAATGTCCAAATATGGGACCAATGCCATACCTTAATTCAAAGTAAATGAAATATAGGATCAATGTCATACAAATTTGGAACTACTGGACCAATGCCATACTACGAATGTTAGGTAACGTATCTACAACGACCATTCTCATACCAGAAGAGCAAAAGTCCGACCATTGCCATACCTCAGAAGTCAGAAATTTCCGGGCATTCCCATACCAAATCCTAAAATATGGGTCCATTGCCATACTAAACGTTAAATAAAAAAGGGGTACCCCACATGAGCCGAGGATCCCCGTCAAGGTTTATATATAGTGAACCCCCGGGTACCGATTACCACTCGGTACTGTAGCAACTACTTAGTGATTGTCCTATTACAGGACTCGTACTATTTCGATCAGAAATCAACTTCCGGAAAGAAACTTCAAAGAAAATATTAGAAATAGAATATCCTTCGTTTATTTTGCGGATTTTGACCAAATAAAACACTGAAGGTAAGATCTTCTTCAGAGTCTATCAATTTTGTTAATGTAAACACAGGACTTTGCGTCCAAGGGACGGATCATTAAATTTTTTTGGAGTCCTTTCGTCAAAATCCAGGACCTCCTAATGTAAAGGACGCGTTACTGAAAGCCCTGATACAGGTAAAATATTTGGATACAAATCGACCTCCTTCGGTGAAAATGATGAAAATGGAAATTTCCTCCGATGGAAGTTCATCCATTTTGTTAGAAAGACATCCAGATGGCCAGTGAAATCATAATGATGTAATGGATGGATGGACAAAACATTAGACCCGAGGACTACAGTGCTGATATATAATAATATAGGATGCGTTTTCAAACTAAACAGAGTGTTCCTACCAAAATGAATTTGCCTACATACGCCTGAAACTCTTATCTGATAGATAGAATGCACAAATAAAACAAAAGTTTTGCTATTATAGGTAAAAAGTTCTCTTGAAATTTCGAAGTGATTTTACCTGTTAATTCTGTCCATAGAAATCACTAGAAAAAACATGGCACACATTGTGCGCATGTGCAGCAAAGTTGAGACCAATCAGATTATTTGATTATTTTGCGCACGTGAATTATTTGCTTCTGAGCACTTACAAGCTTACCACAATAAACAAACCTGGCAGAGACTACCCTTAGCCTACTTCATTTTGGCGAAATTTCAGCTCAAACTCGTGACAAATGCATTATGCATACGCTGGTTTGAAGCCTTGGAGACACTCATTTTGGTAAATATGATTTATTGGGTATACTTTTCTGCAGTTTGTGGGAGTTTGGGACATTAAATGTTAAAATTGAAGAAAATATGCCAATTAAACGACTGATCAATTAATATATACCAGCACTGTAGGTTATTGAGCTAACGTTATGTAAATGACAAGTATTGTAGGACAAAAAAATTTGAACTGCATGTCATATGATCGAAATAACATGTTGTCATATTGCAATAAAAACAAGCTCATATAAGCTTAGTAAATTCACATGACAGCGAGAGTGTTGAAATGAAAGATGTTATGTAATTACTTCGGTCCAAAGCCTTCTCTATATTCCGGCTTTGAGGAGGAAGATTGAGCTGCCTTAGTATAATAAATATTGTAAATCATTGTGTCACACGCACAGTAAATATGGCATAATAATATGAAATATACCTTTATGTATAGATTTGAAGAACATCAGCTCACATCCCCGTCTGAATCTATTGTTATATTTGATTTCTTTAAGCGAGAATAATTTCAAATGTTATTCACGTCCAGAACCGGAAGCCATTTTTTAGCTACAGCGAGAAAATTTCACCATGTGTCAAACTCCGAAATGAAATTTTGAAATATCTAAATCCAGACAAGCAACGCTTCATCCTAAATATGATTAATATTCTTAAAAATATTTATAAAATTTATTAAAAATGAGTTCTAGATGCGTGTAGGTGCGTGTAGCACAGTACATACGAAATCAATGAAGTTTCGTCTAGCTGTAAGCTAGAGACTCGAGTAATTATGTAAGAGCACCACCCTGCATGGTTCAAAACAAGTTCAAAAGTTCAACCCAAATGTTACATGGTTTATAGCGAGAAACCATGTTACAGATCTGTACATAAAATACATTTTCAGAATCCCAAGAAAGTCAACTATATCGTTACGTGCAATGGGACTTGATTGCCGTGGCTTAACCCGGATACTGGGCATGACTATTATTGTTTGCACAGATAAAGTTATCCTGTCATGACCCGCCATCTTGAACGAGTGTGTAAACCATGCCGGTTTTCTGGCAAAATTTCCGAAAAAATTGGCATACTTACCTAGGTCCCTGGGGTCCATAGTCATTCTGGTGCTTTATACATTGAGTTCCTAGAAGCACAGAAAGCTGTCGATCATCTGTTTGATTGAAATTCACAAAAATAAACAATGATTTTTTGACTGGAACTTCCTGCAAACCATTTACCTCAGTTCGCATGATCCGTAATACAATTCCAGTATAATGTAAAAATGGTTTTATCTTTTATCGAAGTTTTGATAAATGAATGCTTATCTATTGATAAACTGGTGTAAAAAGGCGGTTTTAAAAGCATCCAAAATATGGAGATAATTAGAAATACTCTAATGATTCGGATAAGCACGGACCTGAAGAAATGGATTGGAAACTCATCAAATTCTTGTCTCGGCCTATTTCAACCGCTAGAGGCGCTGTAGTCTACGGCGCATGCGCAAACGTTTCATTTTTTGGGAGAAAAAATGGCGGAATGTCAATTTTGGTAAGTTTATCGCCTGTATATCGTGCTATATTGATCGTATATTGTCGAAAGTATCGCATTTCACTAGATTAACAACTGTTCTATCCATGGAACAAGTTTCAGATCATTCCGACTTGATTTAGATAGCGGTTAACGACCCCACAATTTGAAATCAACATTCTCCGTGTTTCGTCCATTTTCAATGAATTTGTTCATAAATTATTCACTCCTGCTTTTATTATTATCGTGTTCGATTTCAAAACATCCGACTTAACTAGAATAACTATCATTTTAATTACCTGGAAAGTTTCACATTATTCTGACTTGATTTTCATAGTCTATAAGGACCCCACATTTTTGTTGTTTCATTTTTTCTGGTCTTTTTTGTCTCCAAATCTGAGTGAAATGTAACCTTTTTTGGTCATGATATGATATATCACTTTGAAGCTTCTTCATTTCACCACAATTTTAGAATTTCAATATTTTGACTTTGTGTAAAGTCCATTTCACTGTTTTATTGCGTCAGTAGAACCCCAGAAATAAGAAATAAGGAGACCACTGTGCAACAATATATAGAAAAGTATTCTATTCACATTGTACATGAATGACATTTGTATATTTAATATTTTTTAGTTTTTTGTGCAATAAGCCTGAGCCCTTTGTAATGTCAGCCACGTTATCTTATTGAAAATAACATGGCAGAGAAGCATCAAAACATAAGAGGCCACACACTTTATAAGCCAAACTAGAAGCAATCCAAGATATGCAAATGTCATTCATGTACAATAGAAATATATTTTTCCATATATTATTGCATATTGATATTTTGATTTCTTATTTTTTAGGTTTTACTGATGCACTAAAACAGTGAAATGGACTTAACCATGCATACTCACAAACATCAGAGTTTTTCTTAGGAAATACCCCCTAGAGGTTTCTTTAGCGAGTATTTCCTAGAAAAATTCTGATATCTTTATGTGTAATGACATTTCAAACTCAAAGTCTGTAACCTCTTATATTTTGATGCTTTTCTGCTATGTTATGTTAATTCTGCAAAAAATAATGTTGCGGATAGACCTCAAATTACAAGGGGCACAGGCTTATTTCAATAAGTTCATCAGCTTGCCTTTGAAGCGGTTAAACAGACTGTAACTATCTACTGACAACACAATATTTTTTGTAGATTAAGGTTATTGAACATGTTGAAGTACAATTTTAGATGTAAGATATTTTAATTTTTAGCCTTCCTTCATCTTCCAAGATGCCCAACAAGAAAAGTCTACACAAAAGAATGAAAGCAGGGATTGTTTGCCTACACTGCCTATATATAGGTAAGAATAAGATTAATCTAAAATACATGTACTGCAATTGAATTAATTGAAAAATGAGGTTTCATCAGATCTGTACCTCATATCATAACCCTATCTAGTCTTAATTCAAGTCACTTGACTTAAACACTAGCTATTTGAACACGTTGGCTTTGGCTAGGCAATTGTGCTGCCATCTGCTTCAGCTTTGATAACATGAATCAAGTACCTAGAATTTGCAGCATGACTTAAAATTATACCTTATCATTAAATCAAAAACAAATAAATCAAACTAGACTTTAAAATTGAGAGAGATGCATATTTTTCTATAAGCAGTAATGATCAAGCTAATTTTGAAATCTTCCCTTTGTTACAGAGAGAAAGATATTGGAGGAGGTGTGGTGCCCCTAACCATAAGCTGATCAAGTAAGTTGTAAAACTAAAAAGTAAATTACACTATTGTTGCCAATAATTAGTTTGAAACAGCAGTGCAAAGGCATAGCATTCTGGCATTAGCAAATCCCCCAAAATTTAAATTTATAGTGAATTGTTCTTAGTATTCATATATAAACTCTCTCATATATTCTAGCCAATATATAACACACATAAAAATGGCTGACATGTTTCAAAAGGGTCACTTAATAGCCAAAATGTCATTGGAAAGTGTTATGCATTTAAGTTTTCATTTATAAAGTTATCTCCTTGTTCTTTCAGTTATTCCCATGGGATAGCAGATGACCACAGATATTGTGCTCCAGATGCTGAATCTGAAATGTAGGTATCCAATAAATGGTGAATGTTCATTAATGTTTTCCATTGGTAAATGCATGAGCATTGCATTGCAAAATCCAACAAAAAGATGGTAATTTTTCATATTTAGTTAAAAGCAGTTTGAGTTTAGCACCATTCAAAAGTTTGCATGTGCCCGGGAGTCAGGACTTTTGACTGGAATCGTTTTGTCCAGTATACACATTAGAAACTCATGATCTGCAAATGTAGTCAAAGTCATTAGACATCTAGAGGTGGAGCAGTCTGCCTTAGCATAGTGCCATTGAGAAAAGTCCTTTTAGGCACTATTTACCAAATAAATATAATATAAATACAGGTTTATACAAGTTTTTAGAGCTTTTTAAGTATTTTTTATTTGGTTCTTAACTAGACATATGTTTTTAAGGAAAAGGACCCCTTAAAATGACAAAATAATTTAGACACTATTTACCTAAAATGCCAATGTCAAAGGTTTACTAAAAGTAAGACAATGCAAGCAATGATCTCTCCAGTATTTTTTTATCAGGCAGGTGCAAAATTCTCATTTTCATAATTAAGACCAAAATTGGTCAAAATATGCCAATTTTTCATGATTTTTCTCATTTTCAAGTGAGTGCAACTGGATTTTCAGGTGGTTGCAAGCCTGTATTTGAAATCTCAGGTTGGTGCTGCACCCACTTGTTTAAATGCTTGGGAGATCACTGGCAAGGAAAAAACAAGGAAATACACACATACCTTCATACTTTATTTTGTACCAGAAAATAACATGAGCAGGTATACATAGCAATTTTTAATTTCAGGCAACATCTAAATAATGGTGTACAAGAAGATAAAATCATCTGAACTGGGCAGGAAGTAGGAAAAATCAAAGTCAACATCCTTGACAAGGTATGCATCACCCCAGTTTACAGTGTTCATTGGTCAACTTTATGGGTTGGGGTCAATCAGAGGTCAATATCTTTTTATTTGGTGTTTTAAGGAAATTGGTGTCGCTGTGACACTTGGCGACCAATGATTATGTGACCTGGGGTCAAGTTCATTCCAAGGTCAAAGGTTCATTTCAAGCTCATCTTAAGGCCAAAGGTCAATATATAAGTATTTGGTGTTTTACTGACCCTTGGCATCTCCTGATCAGGTACCTGAGGTAAAAGTTAGTGTTAATTGGCCAAGGTCTTCTGAAGGTCAAAGGTGTATATCTAGGTATTTAACATGTCAAGGCCTTTTGACAAGTTCGCCTCTAATCAAGAGTCAGTCAAGGTCAAAAGATCAGTATACAGGTATTTAGCATTTTATTGGAGCTCCTGCCATGTGAGACCCTTGGTGACCCACTTAAATGGATAGATTGCTAGTGGTGTTTATAAATCAATTTTTTCTCTCGAAAGTTTCTTGTAATATATGAATAACTTTGATATTCATGTAGCCTATATTTCTATTTTTCAGATTGGTAGTGACTGATGGATGATGTTCCCTGCCATAAGTGCAAGAAATGACTGGCTTCCAAGGTTACTGATTGATACAATAGCAATATCCAGCTCAAATCCAATACATTTACAGCTTAAAAAACACTCAACAAACTGGCATTGTAATTTCGCATTACTGGCATTGTAATTTTAGCTGTATATTTTGACATTATTAAATTTCGCCAATTTCACAAATTAAAATTTATAGACCCCCGAAGTTTTAAAAATATTACCTATAGCACTAAGAATGCTTCAAGAATGTACAGTATTTATGTCTACCAAACTTTATATTTCCCTGGGGAAATGACAAAGATGACCATTTTTTCGTGATTTTACCACCATGGCAAATTATGTGTTTAATTAAATTGCATTTGAAAAATACTTGGATTATGCAAACTAGAGCCAACACTGATTAGGTTTTAGACAAAAAAGGTAAATAATACATAGCCTCCATTTTGAATTTTTTCATTAAGATCTAGGAGGATTGGCTCCCAGGGTTCCCGCTCAGTATTTTGCCATATATGATTATGATATACGGAGTGTCGTCATGAATTCAAAATTAAATACTGTAGATTGGGTTAATTTAGCGCTACTTAATTTGGTGATTTTGCCACTTTTGGCATATTGGCGGCTATCTAATTTGGTGGATATGCAAAAAATGTTAAATGTGCACTGTTTGCGAATTACCAAGTAAATGGGCATATTTGGCTATGTTCATTTTTTCTTTTGAGGACCACTGGCGATATTCACCACGTTTGTACATTTTTGTGAGATCATCCTTTACATTTTGCACCTAGATCGATGCTGCTACTATACCGCGCTTTTCCTTTCTAGTTTTTGCCTGAGTATTAATGAGTGACTGACGAGTTCTGAGCCAGTTCAGAGAGACATTTTTTCATATTTTTTGAAAAAACTGAACCCGAAGTGACCTAAATACACTGGACGAAATACCCTATATAATTTCCGGGGATTCATTCTATGGCGAAGATTTATATTGGCAAATTTTTCAATTTCGCCTAATTAAAGTGGGCGCCAAATTAACCCAATCTACAGTAGCTGCCATATAAGCCATTCTCCTTGCAGTTCAGTCTTGCATTCATTGGCATAGAAATCATCACTGGACAAATTGTTTGGACTTTTTGGGGGAAAAAATATTGAGTTTGAAGCCTGGGAAACCAATGCCTTGTTGTCTCGACATCAAAATTAATTTCATTCGTGGGATTCAGTTTTAATGTACACGAAGCTTTAATATAATTCTGAAGGATATGACTTGGTATGTAAATTACTTGGTGCTATGTTTCCTGAGAGCAATTTATTGCTGTGTGTCTTGTTCTATCATTTTTATGTTAAGAAGCAAAAACAATAATATTCATGAAAACTAGATTTTTGGGATATCCTCATTACAAAAATTTTGGGAAATCTATTCAAGTAGTGTTGAAGGCATATGTTCAGTTTTTGCAATTATCCATTTCTCAATTGTCTGTACAATATAAAATATAAATGTATTTGAATGTGAAAATAAATGTGAATAATTCTTAATTATAACATTTCTTGTTTGTTATGTTTAGCATATATATATTTTTAATTTACTTGGTTTATAAATGTTTAAAAAGTTAAAAGTCGAATTTTTTATATTTGATTTGGATCATCAAAAGAACTTATCTTTTTCAGTAATCTGTATGGTACGGAAAGCGAAAGGGGATATACCGCAGAATTTAAAATTCAATGGAGTTTTAACATGGGAGTGATAGCACACACCGCGGCCCAGTCAGATATATTTCTGCGCACTTTATTTATTTCATTCACTTTGCACAACGCGCCCCCTGTAATTCATTCAGTGCGCAATTAAAAATTGTTTATGAGTGATATCGCACACCGCGGCCCAGTAAGATCGAGCTGCGCACTTTATTTATTAACACACTCAAAATATCGCGCTGAAGCTTGTATATGCTGGCGCGATGTAATTATAGTTTTCTGTTGATAAATGCCCAACAAGAAACGGTAGCACAACGAATTCAACTTTTTTCGAAAGACTGCAGACTTGACCTGCGAAATTGTAATTTTGGATCACAGTGATGCCTCTAGAGAGGATATCTATGAGAATTACAGATTATAGTGCGCAGAATTATAAAGTCAAACTGACCTCAAAATGGTAGTACACAGTGTACACTGCCATCTTTCAATAAAGTAACTACAGACCTTCGTATACAAAATACCAGAATGATTGATGTAATACCTGTATACCATTTCTTCTGGGAGAAGGAAAGTTCCTATATGTATTCCATGGCCGTAGCCAGGGGGCCTCACCCCCCTCCCCCTTGCCAAATATTCGTTCAAAATCATGCAGTTTTTCACCATTCTTAGTAGCACTTTTCGCATGATTTTTTTGCCATAACTGTCAAAAAGCTCCCCCCTCTTGGCCAAATCTCCCCCTTGGTAAAACCACTCACCCAGGTTAATCCAGGATACGGGTCTGTATTCTTAGACGAGATTATTCAAGAACATAAGGTAGACATAAGTGCCACCTGTTAAAAGCTAGGAGATCTTTTCTAAGTTATTAAGTCATCAATCAGCAGACTGGTAATTGTATCCCCCACCCACTTCAAACTCCATACACTAACATACTATTACAATTTTATCTGTGTTTATTTGACTGTAGAAGGTGTACATTCATAGCATTGAATTGCATTTCATTGCATTGTATTGTATTGTATAGTACATCATTGTATTGTATTGTACTGCATTTTATTGTATTTCACTGCATTGTATTTTATTGCACTGCATTGTATTCTATTGCATTATATTGTACTGTATTGCACTGTATTATATTATATTGCACTGCATTGTACTTTATTGCACTGCATTGTATTGTACTGCAGTGTACTACATTGTATTGCGCTGCATTGTATTGTATTGCACTGCATTATAATGTATTGCATTGTACCACATTGTGTTGCACTGCATTGTATTACACTGCATTGTTTTGAATTGCACTGCAATATATTGCACTGCACCATATTGTATTGCACTGCATTGCAATGCACTGCATTGTATTATATTGCACTGTATTGTATTGCACTGCATTGTATTGCACTGTACCACATTGTATTGCACTGCATTGTATTGAAATGAACTACATTGTATTGCACTGCACGGCATTGTTTTACATTGTATTGCATTGCACTGCATTGTATTGCATTATATTGCACTGTATTGTATTGCATCGTATTGCACTGCATTTTATTGTATTATATTGCACTACATTGTATTGTATCATATTGCACTGCATTTTTTGCATCATATAACACTGCTTTGTATTGCATCATATTACACTACATTGTATTGCATCATATTGCACTGCATTGTATTGCATCATATTGCTCTGCATTGTATTGCATCATATTGTACCGCATTGTATTACATCATATTGCACCACATTGTATTGCATCATATTGCACTGCATTGTATAACATCATATTGCACTGCATTGTATTGCATCATATTCCGTATTTACCATTTCGTTACAGTTTTATTACATAAAATGTTATTTATAAGATTATAATTTTCAAACATTGAAAATATTTTATACAATATCAATTAAAAGATATGAAATGGCCCAAAATAATATATTTTCAATGGAACCCTTTGCAAGGGTCACTTCAACATAACGCAACGTGTAATCTGTATGCATACGCCCTCTTTTAATGAACATTATCTTTGAAACCATATTAGAATCGAATCTGATAAAAGTGCGCGTGTCCTGGATGTGCTTCGCGCTAGAATCGGGAAATCTCAAAGTTCTCCTCGTTAGAGCCATCAATATTATCCAGAATTGTCATTTCGCTGGTTCACTCCGCAGTCTTTCGAAAAAAATCAAATTCGTGGTGCCACGAATTATTTTTATTCGTTTTTTATTCACAGATAATCATTTTTTCATCGCGCACTGAATGCCGGAATTTCTGCGCACTTTATTTTAATTAACTTTGCACAACGCGGCCCCTGTAATTCATTCAGTGCGCGATAAAATCTATCTGACTGGGCCGCGGTGTGTGATATCACTCCCATGTTAAAACTCCATTCGAATTTGAATTATGCGCATGTCCCCTATCGCTTTCCGTAGTATGGTAACCGTATTTAGTAATCGGTACGTTGTTATTTGCCTTTTGGGTCACTGTACTCGGTGACCGGTATCCTTGACCATTAGGTCAATCAACATTTCTGCGGATAGATGTCGTACTCACTAATTGACATTGTTCCTGCGCAGACAGGAGTAAGACTGGTTGTTATTGTGAATAACCTCACTTGTTGTGCAGTTTTGAGGTTTATGCAATACCTTCACGATAAAGACTTCAATTTTACATCGTTGACCAGGTAGTTATTTTGTACAAAGACAACGGTGATTTTTATTCGATTTTTTCAAGGGGTCTCCGAAATTTTCGCAATTTCTGTTGCAAATACCCTACCTATAAAGAATTTGCACTATCAAAACCCGTCTAAATCGTAAAAACTAATTGATTTTTATGTCTCTGCCAAGTATCAAGTGCAAATACTGTCTAGTTTTAACAGGGTTGGAAAATCTATTCTTGAGATGAGAATTCTCGTCATCGCCAAGATTTGTTGAGCAGTGATTTTCATGACGTCATTTGTTTGGTTTAGCAATGACGTCATATGTAAACAATGATTTACGCATGCGTGAAAACGACAGCGCCTCTAGCGGCAAAATGAGGCCGAGACCATTGGATCAATGGGAGTTTCCAATCCATTTCTCAAAGTCCGTGGGATAAGTAATTATCCAGTGGAGTTAGGGGTAAAAGCAATTGAGGGTCAAAGTTCACCACAGGTGACGTAAACAAACCAACACATTATTTTTATTGTGACATTTCCACCGGGCATTTCCATGTAGAATAACAATTTCCAAAACAATGAATAACAAATACAGCTTACCTGTACTAGTGTGGCATGGTTCATGGTTATAGTTTTGCATTCAGAATTACATAAACGGCTGGAAAACACAACCATGGGTTGAGATCAACTGATTGAGATAGCAAAATTGTATTATCTGTTGAAATAGACTACAAGTATCTTTTAATAAATCAAACTGCAACATGAACTGAACTTAACCTGATACACATATATCATGTAAGTCTGTACATAAACTATTCATTTATTTCAATTGGATGATGGAACAACCAGCAGGTAGAATAATTAACTCTCATTGCATTTTGTCACATGATCAATGGATTGAACATTGTACTTTTTCACATAGCAAAAGGCAGATTGCAACATGTAGCTATAACACAGTGACTATATGGGATCTAAACTCCAATGATAAAGTAGCACAATTAACTCACAATGAATGTATTTGGAAAGCACAATTCTCAAAGCATGACAGCACAATCTATTGCACATCCAGTGAAGGAAATCTTTACATATGGAAATGGAAAACAATGAAGCTGATCTCAAAAAACAAAATCCACAGTGGCTGCGCTTTTGGTTGTGCCATACATCCAACAAAAAATGTGATTGCTACATGTGGCTTTGACACACTAGTAAAAGTAATCAATATGAAGTACAAAACACTTAAAATAAAAAATACACTTCAAGGGCATAGAAATGCTGTAGAACATTTAGAATTCTCACCTTGTGGTGATATCATTGCAAGCTGTAGTAAAGATAAAACAATCCGTTTGTGGCAGAACTATTTGAAAAATAACAGCCATAAAATACTGAAAAATCATTCAAAATGGGTTCTTTATTGTAAATTCTCATCTACTGGGAGTTTCCTAGTCTCATGCGGCTCAGATAGGATGGTAATTGTCTGGGATGTTGAAACTGGCACAATCATTGAATGGTTGTGTGGGCACAGTAACATTGTCTGGGGTTGTGCATTCTTCAAAATGAACAACAGAGAGCTTGTAGTATCTTGTTCCAGTGATAGATCAGTCAGGTAAAGTGCTGTCATGGTATTTACAAAATTATTTACTTATTATTTAGGCTTATTATTTAGGTTGTATTATGAAATTGGTGCTGGTATTTTGCAAAAACAAAATTCAGTTGTTTTATTTGGTAAGGTAAGAAAAAACAAAAAGTTTGCTTTCAAGGTCCATCATTTCCACGTTGCATGTAGATTTGCTGCAGGGGCGGATCTGGGAACCAACAAGGGGGGGGGGGGGGAATTTGAGTTCTAACCTGCCCCTGCCCCCCCCCCCCCCAGATCCACCAGTGTGCTGAATTCTGCAAGTAAAATTTAAGATTTTGCTATCCCACCACTGAAGACTAATTCCATCCATGCTCTGTGTAAACAAAATTCCAAGTGGTTCCACAATTTCAAAGACAAGGACACTTGAAGTCAATTGTACAATATTCAGTATATCAATTGCATTTATTTATTTCGTATGATCCATTTGATTTTGATAGTTAGCAGTATGAGGTTATAGGTACAATTACAATAATTGGATTCAAATAAAAATTTTACAAAATGCCACCATTGACTGGCAAACATAAACAATGTGCTGTAATATTTTGATATTCCACTGGTCAGACTGCTGGTAACAAACCAATTTCACCTTTTATTATACAGTACATTCTTATTTTCCAGAATATGGGAGCCTAAATTCGGGCATGAGATTTATGCAATTAAAGAAGTAGGAGCAATAAAAGATGGCACTGGTCAACTATACGCAATTGATGTCAACTCAAGTGAAAATACAATAGCAGTTGGAAGTCACAATGGCTCACTACATATCCTGACAATTGACTCTAACAATGTATTATTTAAAACAGAAAACTTCAGTTAAAATGTAAAAATAATCTAGAAAATATATTACATGGATAGCGAATTGTATTTCAGTCAATATATTAAAAGTGTATTATGAGGTTATATAATGGTTCTTTCTGTATATCGTTTTTATACTCGAGTGAGTATATGATATATTCACAAGTGAGCGTAGCGAACGAGTGAATATATTATATTCTCACGAGAGTATAAAATGCACGATATACAGAATGAACCATTATATAATCTTATTATGCCACTCTAAGTTCAATTACAGTTGATTCGAACACAATCATACAATTAAAAACCATAAAAATATCCCATAGCCAACTCAATAATGCTGATGTTGATCTCGAACCATTTATGACGTCATTTGATTCCAGGAAATCATGAACATTTTCATGATTTTTTTATTCATTAGTTCCCAGAATGCACTTCTACAGTGGTATACGCTGGAGTGTATACGGAGGAGTAGTATACGATGACGATATACCACTCTCCACTGTATATCGTTGTTATAGACCCATGTTATACAACTGTAATTGGACTTAGAGTGGTATAATTTTATTTATTCCATAGTTAGCATGATATTTATAGGATAACATGTGAAAATAAAAACGGTATTTTTGTAATCAGTGGTAAAATATGATATTTTCACTTAACCATAGCATACGGTTTTTTAGACATGACATACGGCATCGTATGCGATGGTTTATGGATTTTTGCTACTCCAGACTCAAAACGAGGCTAAGTGTCAACATCGCCGGATCGTTTGGAAAATTTGAATTAAATAACTTAATTTCTGACGATTCTGATCATGACTTTAACTATGGAATAAAAAGAACATCCTATGATTTACTCGTGATATGATTTTAATCCACTCATGGATATTGATATCTGCACTCTCTCGCTACGCTCGCTCGTGCAGATATCATATCCATTCGTGGATAAAAATCATATCACTCATAAATCATAGGATATCCTCTATATACAAAGTCTATATGGCCAATGATTTTTTAAGGTTAAGTTTTATTTCTTTGCATAATTTTATATAACAATATTTACAGGATGTACTAGCATATTTTGTTCAAGTTTATAAAATGGTAATTGTTGACAGTACAATATAAATGTAACATCAAAAAAAAAAAAATACATGGGACTCCCCTTTTAATCTACAAAACTAGCTGAGATGAGGGATTGAATCTGGGTTATGTCCGAGACCATAGGGGAAATATCATGTCACCAAGAATAAACCTATATTCAATCCTGACCAGTAAATAAGCTTTTGATATTCATGACTCTCTTTATGAAATCATTGAGAAATGAAACAAAACTAGACTATATTTCTAGTCTACAAAATATAACTTTAACTTTATGACATGAAATATAAAAACTTTATTCAGAAACAAAGACATCATTTAAATTCTTCTTCCATGACATCACTTGATTTTAAAGAAATTGTAAAAGTTATCACATCACTTCAGATTCAAGTTTTGTATTTTTCTTCTACTTCTGTTGGGTCACTGTCACAAGAAGATTTGTTTTCATTGAATTTTCTAGTCAATAACTTAAATCATCAAAGTAGCTTTTCTTTCAAAGGGGAGGTGTTACACTTCCACAAAAATCCTTTATTAGAAATTTAACCCTTCAGTGTAACAGGAAGTGCAACCTGTAGCGGTGAATCACCTCCATTAGTGGAACAAGACCCAAGACCCAAGTCCAACTGACTTAATGTTGAATGAATCTCTATAAGTGGAACACCTCCCAAGTGGAATACCTTTCAGAGGTAACAAAAGTGTTCCATTTAGACAGATTTTACTGTACCATTATGTTAGTGAATAAACCCCCTTGAATGTCACACAGCTATTGGAACCCTTCATTCACTCCATTTATTTGGGTATAGACAGGAGTCAAAAAGGTATATTCACCCACATACATAAGGGTTATGTACTGGGAGGTTTTGGATATGGGGTTTATCCAGAGGGAGATATACATATCTACCTGAGGGACCGTAGGGACCGAAGGTAGATGTGCATATCTCATGAGGGATGAACCAAATATCCAAACTGACCGTACATAACTGCTTTATCCTATACCAAGTAGAGTTTTCAGGGGCATATGGCCATTTCAACAGTACAAGGTGTAAAAATAAACAAATCATTCATATGCAAAGTCATTTTATTGCATTTCCACTACTTACCGGAAGTGGGAAGATATGCACCGAAACGGGAAGTAATGCACCGAAGCCGGAGATATGGAGGTTCTGGATATGGAAACCTCAAAATCAGGATTCAGGATATATCTTACCAACTTATCTCCCTAAAACTCAACTTGGCATAGGATAATGACACTTATCTCCCTAAAACTCAACTTGGCATAGGATAATGACACACATCCTGTTTTTCATTTTATTACTACATTATACATTAATATGTTATCTCCAATTCATATGATCACATGGCTCATTCCTGAAGTTTACATGAATGTAAATCTTCACTAAGGAGTCTTTTCATGTTTCACACATTTAGTATAGTCATGTAATTGTTTTTGTTTCGTGGGCAGATGCGTGGATGGTTCAGATTTGTTTTGTTATATCAAAACAATGTATTACTGTGTAAGCTATGGACATGGTTCAAATGAATGAACAGAATTACAGTTCTCACAAAATTTCATAGTTATACACTATATTTAGAATATGTTGGAGTAAAAGAAAATATTATCTGTCCAATATCATTATCAAGTCAACATATTGTGAAGATAAAAAAGAAAAGGTACATTCTAGAATGATACTCTGGCACAATTTTCAATAGCTTTTACTTCTAGCATTATTGGACTTCAGACATAAGTGAGGCTACCCGCAAATGACACATACCCATTGCATGGAGTAGGTAATTTTCTTTGCTATAACAAAATATATATGGATTGAAAAATAATTTGTGAAGTTTTCTTAGGGTGCTTTTATGAAAAACAGCATGCTCCCCACGCTGACAAATCTTTCGATCACTACCCGTGAGAGTGGTGGGTTGTTATCGAAATAGATTACATATTGGATATTTGAGACAACCCCTTCGTAGTCCTACTTAGCTGCACGAGATTGACACATGACACCACACACAGATACACCATGGAAACATATCATCATGTTTTCCCCCCATTGAGTAGTTCAATGATTTCTTTATTGTCTGTACTATCCAATGCTGTGAGATTGTCCAAATCTTTTAATTTTCTATCCGCCCCTGAATTCACCAATAAGCGAACCACATCTGTATGTTCGCAACTGCATGCTGGAACATAAAAAAATAGTTAAACCTATGTACCCAAAATTTACATTGCAAGTGATCTATACATTCAGATTTGACCAGCATGTCTAGAATCGTTAGTACATTCACTTGACCCAAGGCCTCCAAGTCTATGCCGAAGTCTATATGTCGCTTACGTTCAACCCTATGTCTCATAAATAGACATTGGCTGGCATTAGGGACTAGACCAATATTTCAATATTGTCCCAACCTGATACTAATTATTTACATACCCGACTGACCCCCACACATAATGTATCATGGAACACTTAATTGATTTCTTTAAAATCAAAAGATATATTTTCTATTGAAAATTTTAATATAACAAAACAAAAAAGTATTTTCCACTTCCCCCAAAATGTTTGACGGCATACATTTCATACAAAAGGAGAGAAATTGGCCCCGTCTTTATATACATATATTTCCTCAATACTTACCATAGTGCAAGGCAGTCTGGCCATCATTGTCTTGTGCATTGATATCTGCCTCATGTTGTAATAATACTTTAACCATTTCTTCTAAGCCCCTGTCACTGGCCCAATGTAGAAGTGCCATACCCTGGAAAAATCACAGTCAGATAATGTGACATGAATCAATTGGGATACTTTATTTGTATCCCCTATAACCTTCTTTCATCCCCCTCAACCATCATATCAATCTTCTGATATTATCCCTTTTGTTCCCTTCCCTCATTGTTTTAAATACAAATCTACAATTCCTTAGTAATAATCTTGAATTCCTAATTGGTCAAAAATATACCTCGCTATCTTTTCCATTAATTTTGACATTCTTTTTCTCTAAAAGCTCTGCAACTTGTTCCACATTGCCCTCAGCACACCACTCAAAGACTGTCTTGTCTTTATCTTCAATGTGTTCATCAGGGCTGGACATTGTGCTTACTGCTACTCCCATACCTATAGATTTCTTGGGAGGCTGGGTTCCTCCTTGAGTGACCTGCAAGAACAAACATTCCCAAGGGTTTCATCAGCAGCAGGCAATAAGTGTATTCAGTGTTTTTAAATTTTTAAATAATTTTAACTTTTTCCATGTTAAAATTAAAATGTCTAATCTTGACAGTTACACATATTTTCACTCATTTTGGTATTCATAAAATAAGGTGTATGGACCATGTCCTACCAATATTTTGGCTTCTTAAGCTTACAGTTGGGGGAGACATTCCATCATTTAAAACTAAGACAGTTAAATCTGTACTTACGTACATATCTCTAATCTGAACACCTTTCAACGTGAGCATTTTCTGATTTTTTTGATCCCATTTTTTTTCTTCCATTGAATCACATGTTAAAAATACTTGAGATATGAACACCTTCCAATTTAAACTTTGAACAGTCATATTTGAGGAATAAACCTGCTTCATGTGAAACTTTTCATAAAATAGATTCTTTTTCAAATATTTTATACAGAATCACTAAAATATGTTCAATTAATCACTATTTTGTGATTTGCAGACTTTTTAAAAAAAACATTCAATAGCCTCTATGTCCTACTTCCATACGGACTAGATGAATATGAGTATTGTACAGTATATGTCTGTTGTATGACAAGATTTGTCCATTACTTTTGAATCAGCCCTCGTATTCCTACAATATTCTCATTCAATTTCATTGACTTTCTAGAAAGCATGATATGAATGATCTTCATACCTTAGCCCTCCATTCAGGATCTATGCTTGTGATTTGATGAACATATTCATCCATAGCTTCTTCCTTTGGTTTGTCACCAAGCTTCTTCCAGGCTTCCCTACAAATATAAATAGTCCTAATTCAAGGTACAAGGCTGGCATTCATTCTCAAAAGGACACTCCTAAACAAACAACACACAGGGTGAACAAAATCACATCCTTTAATAGAGTAGAGTTTTGGGGAGGTTAAGTCCAAAATAGCAGTCTTATCCCACTGCATTTACCCAAAATGCCAAAACACTTACAAATTATCAAGAAACGATTTTAGGATAGAAAATTCAACTGACCACCTTAACATTTCCCCAGAAAGCCCAAAAACCATTCACTTTTAGATTTTTAAAGCCTAAAAGGAGGAGGGAATGTATCACAACAGACTTCGGACATTCATATGTTGGATTTTGGCTATTTTCTGAGGATTTAAACAGATCCGTATGTTAGATCAATGGCGCATTACCTCCAGGAAAAGCACTCCTCGAGATGATAAAATAATTTTGACTTTGAGACAGGGAAGATGCATACAACCCACCCACATTTTTTTCTAAAATGTTTTCTGATTTTCAACCCCTTCCACCCCTGCTTTTTAATTTTTCTTACTCAATCTGTAGCGGTACTTTCCCTCCTTCTTTGAAATCATTCTGTCAAGGGATTTTCCTGGAAAAGTGTAGACAAAACTAAGTCAGTCTGACCGTCCATCTACCAACATGGCAGAGGTAAACCCCACCCATCTACATGCCTGGCAAACTGATCACAATATAGCACCCAAGGATGCGATAAAATTTGTAAAATATACCCATTCTTTTATTATTACATGATTAATGAAATAATAATGTCTTACCATTTTTGTTTTCCCTGGAAGTCGAAGAAGCCTGGTTTAGGAATGTTGCATGGCCCTTCTTTTGCCTGTAACATTAAGAATGGAATGTAATTACATGTATATCATAGACATACAAAGGGGGGGGGGTATGTTATATGTGACCTCACACACCTTTTTTAGCCAATCTCCAGGGATTATGTTTATGGTACAAAGGAGAAGGAGAACCGCAAGGAAGGAAGAACTATTCTCTGACAAAAGAAGTGGACATACATGTGTGACTGGGAACATGTATAAAAAATTAATTCTGAGTATCTTAAAGGGAGTCCTTACCCTACTTCTGGCCTGACTGACCTGCTAGAATCAAAAATATGAGATTTAGCTTAAGATTCTCAACTTAGCCTTGTTGATTTTTAAAATTTGGATATTTGTTTCCAAATATTATATATACAAATTTTAAAAATCAACAAATGCTAAAGCCTTCTACAAGGCTAGCTCAGCTACATGGCATTCCCGGACAAACTCTGAAAATCTGGGGCATTTGTCATGTTAGACTCTTTACAATACACCTATCACAATGTGTCTAATTTGAAGTTTCAGTAAAGAAATTAGGCCTATAGAAAATAAACAAAGAATTTATGAAGATCGTCCGACAATGGCCCGTGTCTATAGGGTCCCATAGGCCCTAAACTGTATCATTCGTCTGATAATATTCGGTCTGTTGGATACAAGGTACTACTTACTGACACACTCAACTTCTGTCACCTCGGTAACCAAACCCGTCTGGCCCAGTTATCTACTCCCGTACTCGTCAGGAGTAGATGACTGGGCCAGACAGGTTTGGTTATCACCTCGGTAGAGTAACATACTACCGTAGGCCTAGGGAAAAGCAGTGGCGTAGCTACGTGTACGCCAAGTACGCCCAGGCGTACTCTCAAATTTTAAGGAAAAATAAAATTTACCTAATTAATTGTGATGAAAAATAAATATTTTACCAAGTGATAGAAATCGATAGGAGATCTATGAAGACTCGTGTTAATAAATAAAAAAGTTCTCGATTGTTTCATTTTCTTTGTTTTGAATCAGTTATCTACTGATAATTAGAGAATTTTATTTCGTTTCGTTTAAGTTGACATTGTAGTTGTGTATTCTTCAATGGCGGCCCCAGCAAGAGCTCCCGGCGTTGATCCTGTTATTCAGTGAGTTCCTATTCATTTCACAATGATCAAACAATACATATTTCCTTCATTGAATTAAGAGTGTTTAGTGTGTCCCCTATCTTCTGAACACCCGGGATCTTCCTATTTTATGGAACCAACGTTTTGTTAATTTTGATAAAACCGGGAAATCATACGGGCTTACACTCGCAAAATGGGCTAGCTACGCCTCTGAAAAGTATTGGTAAACTGAATCTAAAATACTCAATTTTATTTACGATATATTCTACAAAGTTCAAAAGACTACCACGTGGATTTTCTTGTAGTTTCAAAGATGTACAGGCCTCTATGCATTAGACTAGACTATAGAAAAAATAAAAATTTCAACAAAACTGAAAAACGAATTGCTCACTTTCTTCAAACGCATCTGATCTGGTTGCAAAGTTGAACAACAAACCTGTTTATATCTTGAGTAAAAGAACAACAGTTGTTCGGTCTCTAACGTAGTAGAAATGGACTTTAAATGCTCTGAAGCTTGAGTAAACACATCTTCAATAATTTCTTCCTCAATCTCTGCCATTTTGTCAAACACATTTCGTACAGAGCAATCGTGCACTCCAAACTGCAGGTTTTACTATATAAACTTGCAGACACTCGATGACATGGAGAGGATGGCAGTAGGCGCATTTGTATTTAAAACAATTATTTGCAATAGAGGGGGGATACACAATCTTGATATAAGAGTAAAAAGACCCCTGGTGAAGTCCCCCATATCTTTATAAAAACTCTAAGGGATTTGCCTGAAGTGAAAATACATCAAGGACTGTGTGAGCCATGTGTCACGTAAGATTCTTAGAAAAATACTAGTATGATGCCCATTTGAAGCGATGTCTTGCAAGTAGGCTAGCGATCAGCTGTTCCAATGCAAACAAAGCATAGGCATTATGTCCTTAAAAATATCAGATGTGGTTCACATATTCAACATCTTAAAACATATGGTCTAGTATAAAACGGTGGGTTTGAGTCTTCATATTGATGGAGAAATCAAATAAATATAATAGTCATCATTTTAGACGGAGTAATCTTTCAGAATAAGCAAAATATTTGTACAGAAAACAAAAACTTATTTTTATGGCCTTATATCCTGGCACTTGTACACATTCCTGAAGGGGGTCAACTCGGTGCATTCAATGACTTTCGGCAGCGTGAGGAACAACGATTTACAATTGCGTAAGTAGTCTAATTTATTTTTTCATTCTTTTGGACAAGATTATTCTGTAAATGTGATAATCAGAGGGTGAAATGCCTTTGAATCGAGCATTCAACTTACCCTTGGCGTCATCATTTTCGGCAGACTGAAATCGTTTGAAGATCCCCGGGTAGCCGGGTTGGAGCTGTGCAAACGTTATTTACAAACTCTTATTTAACGAAATCGTGTGCCTCTTTCAAGGGAAAATGTATGCTCCTTCCCTGTTGTCGCATTCGAGAATGCAACATTGCATTGGCAGTATTTTGAATTTTTATAGATTTCTTTTCAAATTTCCCGCGAACTTTTTTGACTGAACTTGGGCGATAATAGAGGAATGACGTCATGCGCCATCTATTGACGATTTCAGCGTTTTACTCCATTAGTTTATCATATTATTCAAATTTTAGTTTGTTTTGGAGTTTAGCTATCATATCTGTGTCCTCTTATATTTTGATACTTCTCTGCCATGTCAATCAACGTGTCACAGAACCGACACGCTATAGAGGAACTGACCAACCTAGTATACAGTATGTGACTTGATCATCACATCTAAGGACGAACTTATTGAAAACTTTGAACATTTGCCAAGCTTGGGCTTAAGTGATCATGTGTGTTTACAAATAACAACTGAATGTCCTGTACAGTGTGTCCCAAAAAAAAGGAAACCAGCAATAGATTGCTTATTTCTCAAATATGAATAATAATAGGAAAATGTCACAGCTACCATCTGATAGGTTATGATGTCCTTTTTCTTATGATACCAAAGGTGTTTATTTTTCTTCACGGATGACTGAGTTCTAAGAGATTTAAGTGACCATGTCAGAAATTGTTTTGTGCCACTTTTTCTGTCATGAATGGCTGAACAATGAGGGATTAAAATGGCTATGCAAGACCATGTCCTATTCGAAATACACATTTCTAAACAAGCATTCAACATAGCAAGTTCATGCAGCTGACCCAAGATCAAAGAGTATTCGTAGTGCTCCTCCTCATCGCCGGATTATCGTTCGGGACAGATTAAGGGCGCTGTTCAACAGAAGAGTGATTGCCTTGAACCACGAGATTGAGTGGCCACCAAGATCCCCAGACCTGACACCCTGCGACTTCTTCCTTTGGGGTTATCTTAAGGGTAAAGTCTTCACAACACCACCAAGAGACGTTGATGATCTAAGGGCCAGGATTGTCGCAGCAGTGAAGGATTTAAGGGGACAGAGAGACATCATCGGGGATGCAGTACGTGCTATGAGATCATGGGGAGACATTTGCATTGAAAGGAATGGGGGTCATGTTGAAGGACACTGGGGTTAAAACAACTTTAAATGGACATTGGGATTTAAAAGGGGTGTTAAATATGATATGTGTAATTTTAATTGGAATAAATGAGTAAAAGAGTGATATCCTTATGTTTGTTGTTACTTATCACTTTGTTATGATGGTGAAATTGACTTGGCTGAAAGTGGTACAAACTCATTTCTGACATGGTCACTTAAATCCCTTATAATTCAGTCATCCGTGAAGGAAAATAGACAACTTTGGTATCATAAGAAAGAGGACATCATAATCTATCAGATGGTAGCTGTAAAATTTTCCTATCATTATTCATATTTGAGAAATAAGCAATCTATTGCTGGTTTCCTTTTTTTTGGGACACCCTGTACATATTAAACAACAACACTACAAACCAAAATTTATATACAACAAGAGGAATTACGAGAAAATGAATGCTGAGCTTGGAAAAGTAGACTGGGAAGCACAATTTGTAAACAAAACTGTAGAAGAAGCATGGACATACTTCTCTGAGAAATATAACAGCATCTTGAAGGAATGTGTGCCTAAGTCAACTAAAAGAAGGAAGGATAAAAGGAAGGAGAAATGGATCAATAAAACAGTGATTAAAACTAGCAAAAAGAAATATAAGTACTGGAAAAGATATAAGGAAACAAAAACCCAGATGAATCTTAAGAAATAAAATGACTGTAGAAACGACCTACGTGAATACACCCGAAATTTGAGCTATGAATATGAGAAAGACATTGCCAAGAATGTGAAGAAAAACAATAAGAAATTTTGGCAATACACTCAGTCCAAAAGGCAAAATAAAGAAGATATCAGCGAATTGATAACCAGTGACAACAGATTAGCCTCAACTGACAAGGAGAAAGCAACAGCTCTCAACCAACAATTCGCAAGTGTATTTACTGATGAACTATTAAATGACATTCCCAAACTTGAAAAACAAAATTATACATCAGCCCTACAGGATGTTGAAATTAATCAAGAATTAGTAACCGATAAACTGTTGAATTTAAATGTCAATAAGTCACCGGGACCTGATGGCTTCCATCCCCGCCCACTAAAAGAGACAGCTAAAATCATAGCAACCCCACTTACACTACTATATAAGATATCACTCCAAACTGGGGAGATTCCACAAGGCTGGAAAAATGCCAACATAACTCCAATCTTCAAAACCAACAGTGCCAAAAATGGACTTCGAAAATCGGAAGCAATGAAGATTCCAGCTAATTATAGACCAGTAAGCTAAACATCAATTGTGGTCAAGATTATAGAAAGGATCGTTCGTGACGCTGTGGTTAAGCACCTCCAAGATAACGATTTACTCACTGAAGACCAGTTCGGATTTGTCCCTGGCAGATCCACCGTGTTGCAACTTTTATCCTACTTGGAAACAATCACAGGAGGAATACTAGACGAAGAGGAACCGGTAGATAGCATTTACACAGATTTTAGTAAAGCGTTTGATTCCGTGCCCCACGCAAGGTTACTACACAAACTGGAGGCATATGGCATACAGGGAAATGTCCACAGATGGATAACTTCGTTCCTAACAGGAAGGCTCCAAAGGGTAACAGTAAACAATGATACATCACCATGGACACCTGTAAAGTCTGGTATACCTCAAGGGACCTGCCTTGGGCCATCCCTATTCGCCATATTTATTAACGACATGCCAAAAGAGACTGTAAATAAAATATTTATGTATGCTGACGACACAAAACTTGTGGGGAAAGTCGGAACATCTGAGCAAAGAAACCAAATGCAAAGAGATATTGATGCCTTAGATCAATGGTCCCAGAAGTGGCAACTACCATTCAACTCCTCCAAATGTAAAACCATGCACATGGGAACTAGAGGTCGCAACGGTACTGAAAACCAGTACCGGTAACCGTCACGCTAATAACCGTACTGTTACCGAAATACCGGTAAAAATATGTAAGATAAAATGCCAATGCGCTGCCACAGCAAAAAATGCGTATGAATACAATGAATCCTGACATCAGGATTCATACAGGATATGCACGCAGTGTGCCAAACCGGTATAAATCCTGACGCCTGGATTCATACAAGATATGCACACGGTGTGCCAATCCTGTACGTATCCTGAGTCAAGATTTATACAGGATACGCTCGCAGTGTGCCAAACCTGTATAAATCCCGACGCCTGGATTCATACAAGATATGCACACGGTGTGCCAATCCTGTACGTATCCTGAGTCAAGATTCATACAGGAAACGCTCGCAGTGTGCCAATCCTGTATGAATCCTGACGCCTGGATTCATACAGGATATGCACACAGTGTGCCAATCCTGTACGTATCCTGAGTCAAGATTCATACAGGATATGCTCGCTGTGAGCGAATCCTGTATGAATCCTGACACCTGGATACATACAGGATTGACACACTGTGTGCATATCCTGAACATATCCTGTATCAGGATTTATACAGGATTGGCGCGTGTAGGAATCCAGTATGAATCCTGCCTCCTGGATTCATACAGGATACGCTTGCAGTGTGCCAATCCTGTATGAATCCTTTTTTTTTTTTTTTTTTTTTAATGGATTTTTATTTCAGTTCAAGCAGTACATTCAATACATATTTAGGTTTAGTCATTTTACAATAGTGTCGATGGGTGAGAGGGTAACATTGAAACTATTGGCAAGCATTGCCTAACACAGACGTGTTTCACGTTTCCCTAAAACATTTAGCATTTACAATAGTATGAAAATTATACAACATGGAAAATATGAAGCAGTATAAACTTGTAGTACATGTAATTACAATATATTTTTAATATCCTTCCATTTATCTCCTCTTCCTACTTTTACATATTCTTCTATGTTTCTCTTCAGTCCCAGAAAGGTTGGACGCACCTTTAGACATTTACATAAGTATATATATCTCCTGTATATAGATAAAATTGTATTTATCAATATTGTTTCACTATTTATAATTACTGGTCCTAAAGTGATTGTACTTTTGTCACATAAATCAGAAAGTTTTTTAGGAAGCCAGTTTTTAATATCTTGAATTACCATTTCGACAACCTCACACGTTTAAAACAGGTGCACCAGGGTCTCTATGTGTCTACTGCAAAAACAGCATTTATCAGATTCCTTAATACCACACCTTTAAGTATTTATTTGTCGGTAGAAATCTGTGGATTACTTTATAGTTGAAAGATGCTAATTCAGGTTCATAGTTACTTATTTTATTAATTTTATTAATGTTTTTCCATTCATGGTCTTCAATATTAATATCTAAATCACCGTTCCATTTATGCACATAGTTGTCGTTGTAATCAAGGTTTTTAATTAGTTCCCAGTAAATTATTTTACAATTTTTTTTCTTTTCCATGAATTTTAACACATGTTTTTTTATATTCAGAATAATATTCAGGCGGTTTATTATTTTCAGATATTATTTTATAAATCCTGATGCCTAGATTCATACAGGATATGCACAGTGTGCTAATCCTGTACGTATCCTGAGTCAAGATTCACACAGGATAGGCTCGCTGTGCGCGAGTCATGTATGCATCCTGACGCCAGGATACAAATATATGCACACAGTGTACCAATCCTTTACGTACTCTAAGTCAGGATTTGTATAAGTTTGAGGGAGATGGTTTAATCCGGTTTAAGCTCACTATTATAAATCGATCAAGGGATTGATGATGAAAGGATGGGACAATTGGTACATGTATCTTGCCTAGACTCCCAAATATTCTATGGCGGCCATATTTTGCAAATGTACGTACAGTATAGTGGTTATTTACTGGTAGGGACTCAATATGGGTTTTATTACGAAGGACAATA